CTTGTTAAATACTTAAAGGCAAGTTTGTACAGAAAAATATACATTATGATACATTCCTCAGCTAGAGAGGCAACTATTATTTGACAGTATTAAATCTCACTATATAAGGAGGAATAAGATTTATTAAAATAGGTAGTTATTATTCACATCAAATTGAACTTTTATCTTGATCATATGATAGTGACTTTTTTCTTTTAATCAAATTATATTCTTGAACAAATGTGGGTTCTCCAAAAAGGGTTTGAGGCAATTTTATGTAAAATACACAAACACAATTAATTCACACAAGACGAATAGAAATACAAACACAAATAGCAAATCAAAACCATGACAAGGACGATAAAGGAAGCAAATAGCATAAAGGGTGAAGGGTTGATATGATTAAACATTAAATTTTACTTTTTGCTTCCAATAGGGCAATACAGTGGGGTAGCTAATTCTTATTAACTTGTAGCACATTATTTCGTCAGAAGAAACCAATCTTTTCTAGCATTAAATTCTTAATAGTATTTTTCATATGGGGCCTTTAATAATATCCCTCACAAAAATATTATAGTAGACAAAGAAATGGTTTTCCTACCTTTGCTTCTTGAATCAACTTAGGACAAAACACTAAAGCCTAATTCAGTGGAAATAAATCACTGAGGTCGGTGGGTGTGGTCACTGTGGCTTTTAGAGACTTACCCATAAAGAGATTATTCTTGAAAAACTGTAGTAATGTAAGTAGAACCTTCACATTCACCAGGTGTGGCTTCCTCTGATGCTTGTGGGTTGTTATCTGAGAAGGACAGGTGTTGGGAGGAGGTGAGGGAATAGATTTCTTGCTATTAAGTTCTTGCTTGGCTTCATTTTTGCCACTCTGATAGTCAACTTTAACCACAGGCTGAAAAGATTCACTCCCTGCACTCAAGGATCTTGCATGCTTCTATATTTTTTCAGTAGGGCTAGAGTTTTTAAACTATTTTTTAATGTAAAATTCAAGCATACCTATTACTCAGTTTCAACAATTATTAATATGGTCAATCTTATTTTATCAAAAGAGTACATTTTTTAAATTCCAGTAGCACCGTTCCTCCCAGGTACACATATTTGCATAGTTATGTATCTAGTGGTAACAAGACTAAGAGAGCAGCATCTATTTTATTGGCAAATAACATTTATTTTGAAAGCAAAAAAAAAAGAAAAGGAAGGAGCGGGGAGGGGAAGGGGTAGAAAAGAAAGAGAAAGAAAGAGAGAAAGAGAGACAAAGAAAGAAAAGAACAGAACCCACCTAGCAGGGTCAAGGGCCTGTTATCTCTGCTCCATTTCTTCCCTGATCATTCTAGAAGCTGAATCAGCTTATCCAGAAGGTTCAGCGTCTCAGTAACTCTTAGGCCATTTCTAAAATAATATTTGGAAAATCTTCAGATAAAAACTTCAAAGGTCAGTGATACCTTGTGATATTGCCTTCTACCATGTTCTCTGAAGGGAAATGAAATTTTACATTAAAGAGGATAAAACTTCTTTAGCAAATGGCATAATAGCATTAACATCGTATCCCCTGTTCTATTGTTTCCTCCCATGCTGTTGAAATTCAGTGTGGGATTGCCTGAAAGACCATATGCTTCTCATCTGATTTGGATTTTGAGGCTTAGGGCCTTACATCATTGATAAAAGGCAGTTCCTTTGACCTATTTCTCTGGCTCTTTTGATGTTGACTTTCCAGATGCTGATAAATAGAGAGTAATGTATTTTTATTGCTTCACTTACATGCCAGGAGTGGAGTCCAACTTTGTTGACCCAGTCATTTAGACGGTTGGAGTAGTGGCAGGAGAAAAACATTTTGGAATTGTTTATTGAAGCTCTTCCAGAGTTCCTGTAGGGCTTGAGGAGGAATCATAAAAATGTTGATATAATACACCTTCTCCACAAAGACCATGATTAATCCAAATTACATTTTTTTCTTCTCAGTAAAAAAACAAACAAACAAAAAAAAATTAACACCAAATGTGAATAGCTGAAAGTTTTCAAATTGCAGAATTTTTCCTTTCTTCATCTCA